CAACCCAACTCTTACAAAAGTTGTTGGGTTCAAAGGGAGACATCGGATGGTAACCTTCAATTTCACCTTGACCTTGACCTTCAAAGTCATTTGAAGGTCAAATCGAATTTTTTAAATAGAAACTTTAGTTATGTTAAGAGTCGAAATGATCTTTAAAGATCATTTCAAGGTCGAACCGCTTAATAACGTTTAGGAAAAAAATTCAAGGTATGAGAACTTGTGTATCAAACTCACAGTGATGAACCCATTTTTACAAAATTTAAACGTCTATATAAATTCAAATCTTCGTCGAAACACAATCAACGTGGGCCCTGGACATCGATATATGTATTATGTCGATGACTGAACGCAGGCTTTGGTGTGAACAATTTTATTTTATACGAATGACTACTAATTCAAATATCTTAAAAAACAAACCACGATCAATTTTGGTTTTCAGGTCATTTTCTAGACTTGTAAGCGGTTCAACCTTGAAATGATCTTTAAAGGTAATTTCGACTCTTAACATAACTTTAAAGTTTTTATTTAAAAAATTCGATTTGACCTTTAAATGACCTTGAAAGTCAAGGTGAAATTGAAAATCACCATCCAATATTTCTCTCCGAACCCAACAACTTTTGTAAGAGTTGGGTTGGTTGCTCCCCGACAAGATATGTATTCAGGTGCGTAATTTCAAATATTTTGTCCTTGAAATAACCTCTGAAGATCATTCCAAAGAAGAGCCTCAAGTACCCATTTAAACGTCAAATTTTGCGCTCTTTCCGAATCCGGGGTCAAAAATAAGGGTTTCTATTTAAAAATTCGATTTGACCTTCAAATGACCTTGAAGGTCAAGGTCAAGGTGAAATTGAAAATCACCAGCCGATGTCTCCCTCCAAATCCAACAACTTTTGTAAAGGTTATTTTCGAATTAGTGACTCCCCTAACGAGATATTCAGGTGCATAATTTAAAATGGGACACTCTGGATATATTATATATATATATATATACATATATATATATATATATATATATACAGGGTGTTCAAAAAGTCCCGGACCGGTGAAATATCTCGAAAACTAAGC